AGGCGCGCCCGCAGCCAGGGGCCGCGTCGGAAATCCGCCCGGACGACAAGCGCCCTCCGCCGGACGGAGCCCACGAAGAGCAGCAGCAGGTAGGCGCGGCGCGTCTGGGCTGGGGCGTCGGGGGGAGAAGGCGAGCCGCTGGCGCCCGGGAAGGCGGCCCCCGCGGGAAAGGAGCCCTTCGCTCTCGGCCGCCGCTGGCCCGCCCGGCCTCTTTCCCGGCCAGCCCGTGGAACCGAAAGCACGTCGGGAAGCCCCGGGGCGGGGGGGTCCTCCTTCTCACGCGGAGGGCGGCTGGGGACGGGCTGGCCGAGCCAGGGGAGGGGAGGCAGGAGCCGCCCGTCGGTCCCCGCAGCCGCCGGCCAATGTGTTGCTTTGCCAGGGATGGAGCCCCCACTCGTGGGCGCCGCCGCGGACGCTACAGGGCCCCCGGCCTCCCCGCGCCCTCCCTCCGGCCGGGACCGCGAGGCGGAGCTCCGGGGCGAGAGCGCCCCCGCTGGACCCCGCGCCCCCCACGCCAGGGGGCGGCGGCAGCGGCAGCAGCAGCAGCAGCAGCAGCAGCAGGGTAAGTGGCTTTCGGGCGGCTTCGGGGCTCCTCCCAGCCGTCGCGCTGCCCGCGGGCCCCCGGCTCCCCCCCCTCCCGGATCCAAAGAGAGACTTTCAGGGCACGGGGTGGGGGGCTCGGCAAGCCGCCCTTCCCCGTGGCTCCCCGCCGCCCGGGGCGCAAGACTGGGGCCAATGTACGCGCCCTCGAAGCTGTGAAGACTTGCGAGCAAAAATTCCACTCTGTGAGCGGGCGATGTGGCTACTGCCTGAATTGGTTTGCTCTGGAGCCCTCCTTCCTGTACGGAGACACACACACACAAAAAAGTGAGTTGGAGGCTAAACAAACTCTGAGTTGGCTCACACTCACTCAGCTGAGAGGGAACAGTGACTGGGGCACTCCCCCCCCCCCCCGGTTAGGCGCCTGGGGGGGGGTGCAGGAGAGGCTGCCGCCAGCCCCACAAGGGACACCCATGTGGCGGCAGCCGCTGCCTCCTCTTCTTATTCTTTTCCCCTCTCCTTGGGGGGGGGCGGGCGGTGGCGGCTGTGAGAGATCGGGCCCCTCCCGGATCAGGGCCCAGGGCAACTGCTCCTCTTGCCCCTTGGCTAGCTGGGCTGGGGCCGAAAGGCCAAAGGGCAGTGTGGTGGGGTGCATCACAGGAGGCTACAAATGGGCACCGAGTGTTTTCTTACAGTCTGCTTTTCTCACCATATACTGCTTCTCTTGTGCTGCCTTCTCATCGTATAGAACTGGGTAACTTATTTCACAGCGGTTTCAGTGAAGAAGGGCATGGTAAAGGTTTCCCCTGCTTGAAAGCCAGCTGAATCCGACTCTAGGGGGCGGTGCTCATCTCCATTTCCAAGCTGAAGAGCCAGCACTGTCCGAAGACGTTTATGTGGTCATGTGGCCGGCATGACTAAATGCCGATGCGCACGGAGCGCTGTTACCTTCCCACTGAAGCGTAACAGGGGGCGTAGGAGGTCCTTAATTGATTCCTTATTGTTTTTCCTACCCTAATCCTTTTCTGAACCTTTCCAGTGACCAAATAGCTCCTTCCTAGTGGTAGTTCAGCAAATCACAGTGGCTAAAACTTTGGGGACTCCATCAGGCCCTGGAAGGACAGCAAGTGGCCCCCACCCCCTTCTGGTAGGGATGCCACCGTCCTCCTAGCGAGTGTGGCTGCCCTCCAGCAAAGAGTGTCAGAAGGGTCTACTAGAGCCAGGAGAAATTTCACACTGACAGTCACTCAAATCAGGCCTTACTGCAACTTGGGTTTAGCTGCCTAACACTAAAGAGCAGGGGTGTGTGTGTGTGTGTGTTTGTATCTGAACTAATCAGCATTGTCTTGTGGGTGCCAGAAAACTTGTCTGATTTTTTTAGTTCTGTCTCTGAAGCTATCCATGTGGAAACGTAAAACTGGACTTCTTGATGCTCAGCTGCGGGGATATCTGAGGGACCGGCTTCGTCTTCTGGAGAATGATGACAGGAAAGCGAGGGCCGTGTTCAGTGTAAGTGGCTGGTGATCTGTTTACCCAACTGCCAAACGGGGAAGAGAAGAGGCAGCCCTCTTAGCCCTGGGTCCCCAGTAGCTGGCACTCATCTGGAGTCTTGCCCCAGTGTTGTGCACCAGAGGAGGCTTTTGCGCACTGTCAGCAAGTGCAGCCCCACATGGAGGGCACTGCAGGTCCGAATGAGTTCAGAGCATGGGGAGCTGTGGCCAAATCTGGCTTCTCCTAGGCAAGACAAAGGTGGCAGACCAGCTGCAACGTGGCAAAGGTACCTGGTGCAGAAGAAGAAGAGGAAGAGATTGGATTTATACCCCATGGCCCTTCACTACCCAAAGGAGTCTCAGAGCGGCTTACAAACTCCTTTCCCTTCCCCTTCCCACAACAGACACCCTGAGAGGTAGGCGGGGCTGAGAGAGCTCTTGACAGAAACTGCTCTTTTTCAAGAACAGCTCTTATCAGAACCACGGCCTGCCCAAGGTCATCCAGCCAGGTGCGAGTGGAAGAGGAGTGGGGAATCAAACCCGGTTCTCCCAGGTTAGAGTCCGCGCACTTCACCACTACACCAAACTGGCTCTGAACCTCCACCAAAGAAAAGCTAAGCCTCCACCAAAGGCGTGGATGCAGTTGTGTTCCCAGGCGGTTGTATCTCAAGCATAATCCTAACCAGGGCTTTTTTTGTAGAAAAAGCCCAGCAGGAACTCATTAGCATAACAGGCCACACCCAACGGCAGAAACTCATTAGCATAGTAGGCCACACCCTGACAGCACAGCTCATTAGCACATCAGGCCGCACCCCCATGTTACCAGAAGTGTGGTCATCCAGCCACACCCACCTTTTGCTTCTTATTCTGTTTACCTTGTTTGTTGTCAAAACCCAGGGCTTTTTTTGTAGCAGGAACTCCTTTGCATGTTAGGCCACACACCCCTAATGTATCCAATCCTAATGAGTTTCTGCTGTTGGGTGTGGCCTATTATGCTAATGAGTTCCTGCTGGGCGTGGCCAACTTGGGAGCCAGCCGGAACTCCGTTCCTGTGCGTTCCTGGCCAAAAATAGCCCTGATCCTACCTATAATTTCCCACAGAATTTGAGGTCTTAACACCCATCTGCATTATATTATCTAATTCTACTTTTAAAATATTGCATATTTACACCAATGTCTCAGCATTTAGATCAATATTTAATGGAATTAAATGCATCTGCTGAACTATTTAGCATACTTTATTCAGCAATGCAGCTCTACACAAATATTTCACTGCTGTAAAAATAAAAATAAATGGGTTTAAAGCTTTTTTTGATCTAGAACATTCCTCCCTCTTTTTTTGTGAAAAAGGGAAATTGATGAATTGTATATATATGAGCCCTCTATATTAGGACAAAAGTAAATATTCTGTGTAAAGGTTGCATACATGGATTAGCACTCCACCATAAAAAACCCTAGCTAAAAATACATTGTTTTATAATTAACTAGGAAAAAGGCCCGTTGTGGAAATAAATACAATGGCCTCTAGAAAGAGGCTCTGGGCGAGGCCTCCATGTCTTCCGCCGTCCTCTGAAGTTTGCTCGATTTCATGTTCGTTGCATCTATGACACTGTCTAACCATCTCATCCTTTGCCGTCCCCGTCTTCATATTTTCCCCTCACTCTTCAGCTTTCCACCCCCCCACACACACCTGCAGCCTCTCCCGTGCTCTGAAGCCCTGACTGCTACGTCACATTGGCTGTCATACGGGGGCCACCTCAGCAGCATATAAGGACACAGAGCCCACCATTTTCTCCAGGGGAACTGATCTCTGCCATCTGGAAAGCAGTTGCAATTCTGAGGGATCTCCAGCCCTCACCTGGAGATTGGACACATTTTGCCTCAGAAGAGCAAAACTGTTTAGAATGTTAGAAGCAAAAGCCAATCAAGTTGCATATGCAAACGACCTCTGTGTTCCGAGGCAGAGGCCAATGAGGCTGCATATGCAAATAACCTCTGTGTTCTGATTGGCCACGGGGGGGGGAGAGGAAGAGCAAACTGCTTAGAATATTGGAGGCAGGACTCAGGCAAAGCAGCCAGTGGATAGGGAGACCCTCTGAATGACAGATCAGAGAGCAAACTGATTTTGGAGCATGTAGAATGTTCTAGAGAAGTGCCACCACCATTCGGCTATTATTTATAAGGGAGATGGGGTCTGAACTGGCGGTAACTGACCAGGAGAGAGATCTTGGGAGTCATGGTAGATAACTCACTGAAAATGTTGACTCAGGGAGATTAATTCTGCGTTTAAAATTTTTAAAAAATATCAGCATGCAATGGGTAAATTTTGAAGTTCTTTTTAAAAAATTGCTTTGTTGTACAAGGAAAAGAAAAACAACCTTTAAAAATGTATTTATCTTCTCGGCCTTTTGGCTAAGATAAAGTGTAGTGTAGTATATTTATCTTCCAAACTAACCTTGTGCTGTAACATGATCCAAGCATTATGTCATAATGTTGAGACAAGAGAACAGGAAGCCAAACTCTCCCACATTAAAAAACCTGGAATTTTGTTGGGGAAAGGAGGAGTGCAGGAGCCTTTTCATGGACTCCCATCCCCCCACGGTGTCTGTTTTGGGAGGGAGAGAAGCTGGCTGGGACCCCAGCTGCCTCCCAAGAGAGAGGGGGAGATGGTTGTTCTAGACCAAAACTCAGTTTATTCCATTACACGCTCTTAAGACTGAAAATGCTTTGTAGCATTTCAGTATTCAGCATAGACTATTTCAACACAACCCCAGTACAAAAATAGTGCACTTGTAGGTCTAAGAAGGAAATCCTTGGTTGCTCCGTCAAGAAGACCCATAACGAAGGGTGGCTGGCCAGAACAACCAGGAACAAGCCTAGATTCAGACATTAAGTCCTCTATCCTCCATCCATGGGAGCTAACCAATGTTCCCTCTAAGCTGTGGAGTCTTGTGAGCAAAAATTCTACTTTGTGAGCTACTGGCGTTAAAACTGTGAGCAAGCAATTTGGCTACTGCATAGATTAGTTTGCTCTGGAGCCATCCTTCCTGAGCCAAGACAAAAATGTGTGAGCCAGAGGCTAAGAAACGGTGAGCTAGCTCATACTAACTCAGCTTAGAGGGAACACTGGAGCTAACGTAAGTGTCAGTCAGGTCTGTGGCTGAGCATCCGACGTGCACCTGACGTACAGGACAAAGCTCAGCCCTTTGTTTCAATCTCTGGGGTCAGGAAGGTCGGGGAAAGCCAGGGAAAGCTGGGATGACTCAGAGAGTCAAGGGAGCGAGTTACAGATACCCTGTCTATTTAGATTTTGATAGTGTATAAATACTCCAGAAGGCACAAGTCATGTACCGGGGTATCGGTACCAGAAGGCCACAGCACTTAGCACAGTCCTGAAGCCTCCTGGGAAACAGAACCAAAGATTCAACTATACTTTACTATAGAAATTAAAGTAACGTGGGTTTAACAGAGGGCTGAGGTTCAAGCCAGGCCCTAATTCCACAACAAATGTGTCCCCTGAAGAAACATTTTCCCTTGTCATATAGCTGCTCTCTACCTGACTTCCCTTGATACCCAGACCTGGAGCAGCCTTGTGTAGGCTGTGGCTGTTTTCCCTCAGGGTAAGGATTTAGCTTAGAACACTAGAGGCATAATATTCATTCAGCAGTCACAAATATGGCCAAAAATAAAGGGGAGCAGAAAAAGAAAAAACTGTGACAAATGAATGCTAGTATTATATTCAAGGATCAATTTACAATGACAAAAAAGGTGAACAATATATTTGGTGAAAGTAGACGGTGGTCTCCGGAGTGATCTGCCGTTTCGACAAACGATCTTCTTCTGAACAAGGATGAACAAGGCATTCAGCAATGATAGCCCATTGAAGAAGCTAGCTGTAAGCATAGTATCATAATGGAGTGAATCAACAGTTATACTTTTGGCTCATCACCAAGAGAAATGAATTGTTGAAAGACAATTTATGTATATGTATAGAAATATTGATTTCTACAAGTCTCATGCCTTCTCCTGTGATGACATTCTATGTCTTTGTTTCCTGTGCAGGCCAAATGGTCCAGGGCAGACCAGATGGCCTGAACAACCTCAATAGCCATGTCATATAACCACACATTCTTTCACACCTCTAAGTGGAAGAGCTAGACTTCAAGGTGCCTGCTTTAAGGCTACATGGGCCATGTCACGTACAGCATGGGGAAGCTGGAAGCTGGGTCACCTGACTGCAGGAGGGGCCTCCAAACTTCTAGCCAATCCTATGTTGCAGCTATGACAACCAACAATTGGGCACACCCCTGTCCACTCATGGTTGGCTGCATGGCCACAGTTGATCATGACTGGAATTGGGCTATAATTGTTTGATGCCAATGAGAGAGACTCTCTTGCTCTCTGCTCTTGCTCTCTCTGCTTGTTTTATTGCACTTGAAATGCAGCCCTTGAGGGACAAAGGGTGGCTTTGTGAAGTGGATGCATTGCTTGTACAAGATGGGATTCCTACTCAAAATCCCTTGGTGCTAACTGGATTATCACAATGGACAATCTTGAACTGTTTGGATGTTCCTGAACTTGCTAAATATGTATCTTACTGTGTAGTTAAGGCAAATCGCCTTAGGCTTGTTATTTTGGTAAACTCTGGTAGTCTATACTAAGCTCTGTACTGAATAAAACACTATTCTTGTTTCTAAATGTTCTCTGATGTTGTACCTGAGTTCCAAGTCTAAATCTGGTGGCTAACCCTGACCACATACGCTACCTTGGTAAGAGTATGCATCTCTGAGTGAGTTGCTAATGTGCTCTGTCCCAGGTGCCAACTAAGGGTTTGGAATCTCTCCCTTAGGAGAGGCAGGGACTAGTGAAAAGAGGTTCTGATGGCACATTGTTCTGAAAACCTGAGAGGGTATAGCCTACCTCTGGGTTTGTTGTTTAATGTACTGGAAAAGTACAGGATTACCTCTCACCCCTGGACTGGTTTGAGGGGCTTAATCCTGTACAGTATACATCCTTGTTCAGAAGAAGATCGTTTTGTCGAAACGACAGATCATTCCAGAGACCACCGTCTACTTTCACCAAATATATTGTTCAACTTTTTTGTCATTGTAAATTGATCCTTGAATATAATATTGACATTCATTTGTCACAGTTTTTTCTTTTTCCGCTGGTCTATTGACTGTGCCCTTCCTGGTGACTATTCAAAAAATAAAGGGGAACAGTTTCTGGCCTTGACTAAGAAGATAGTAGTGGATGTGCCACAGATAAGAACACACCTGGCCTCTCGGGGAAGCCTGCCAAGGAGGGCGCCTGGAGGCCCAGAACAGAAGAGCCTGGAAGGTCAGGTAATGATACGGCCTCGTGTGGCCACCTTACCCATTGTCAATAGGTACAGGACATGTCGGCCCAGGTGCAGAAATTGCCGGAATGTCCCAACTTGACAGCAGTGAATATATGGTTCAAGGATAGGAGTATTGGCTGAGGGCCAAAAGATGTTCATATATATGAGAAGCTGGTAATTGTTGTTTTTAAGCAGGCTTTGTTAAGATAAACGGTAGCAAGAATGGACTAGCTTTTTATATATTCTAAGAAGTTATTTTAAGTAAAGATAACCATATATGGTGTTTGAAGTTATAAGATAATGAGTTAGCCAAGAATGTTCACCTTTATCAAGTGGGACAGTTAGCTATTGTTTGGAGATGACTTTAAAATCCTATGAATAGGGGGAGGTGTATTGATCAAGAGTTTCTTCTCAGAACCTGCTTAGTTTTGAGGTAAGAAACTCTTCTGGAGTTGTGTCATTGCTCTCCTTTAATTATCTATGTAATAAGGTTGGATGGCTGGTAAAATGCTTTGTGGATTTACTCTGTTAAGAATGCAATAATTATGCTCTAATAAAGGAGCTTAGAGTGGAAGCAGAGACTCTCTAATAGTATTTATTTGTGTACTAACGCTAGAAGAATCCTGTAGCATTACTGAGATGTACCTCTGGCCAGGAGTGAAATGATCTGGTATAGGAACGCTAACTTGGTGCCTGGGGCTTCTTAAGTGCCTGCCTACACCTGAATCGAGCCTGGCCAGAGTCATCCAGAACACAGCCGTAACTCACCCTCACTTCAAGAAACTCTTAAAAAGGTAAATTTGAATGCTCCTAACTTAATTGGTATGCAGTAGATTTTGTCTAAGTAAGTTAGGACAAGACTCCTGTTAGATGTGAATTTTGGCAATGCCTGTTAGAAGAAAGAGAATTTGAACCTCACACATAAGAGCCCTTAAGAACAAGTGGATTGTGTAAATGTCTATAACTTAACAAGTTTACATCAGCGCCCCCCCCCCCCCCCCCCCCTGCCAGGTGAAATTATACTGCTTTCTGGGTAGATTTATTCTGCCCAATCTCTGAATAATGGGACACATTGGTCTAATGTTAGGAGGAACAGAATTTCCACGCTGTGTGATGGAAGAAGGTTTTAAAAGAAGGTGGGAGTTCTCACGGCTCGTGTCTTACTAAGGGCACAGTAATACCACAGACTCCGGCATGGTTCCTCTCAGCTAGCTGTAGAATAGGGCTGAGGCAGAAACACCAAAGGGACCTTGATGACTCAGCAGTGAATGAGCGGAATATGAGAGACTGTGGAACATGAGAGCTGCTTACAGGAGGTGGAAATTGAGGGGCAGCAGACTTTTAACTGGCAATCGCTATGACTTTTCTGCTGCATTAGAACAAATTTAGAGTCCAGTGGAGGCACCTTTAAGACCAACAAAGGTTTATTCAAGGTATGAGCTTTTGTGTGCAAGACAGGCTTTGTCAAATGCATTGGAATGGTGTGTGAGGTTCAAACCTATAGGCAGATGATGAATAGCAAATTAACATGTAACATGATGTAGGTGCTTTAAGATAAGAGCATTTTCTGCTGCATGAATGAGTTTGTAAACACCTTTTCTCATGCCAGTTTAAAGAGCATCCTAGAGCTATTGTAGCTTCTCCTGATGAGTGTACACTGTTTGTGTGGTAGATTATTAATCAGAGCAGGTTCAGCAAGTAAGGCTGTCAGTCTTTTGAAGCCAGTCTGCTTTTGGAGAGATCCCTTCTTGTTCATTCCGCAGGGGCACCAGAGCTACCTTCGTGGTTCAGTGGCTTCCGTCCCGTTTCTTTCTCTTTAATTATGCATGCGACTTCCTGGTTCTTTCCATAAAGACATTTGAACGTTTCTCTCCCCCCCCCCCCAGGAGCTGTCTGCCCGGCTCTTGTCTGTTGATCCTGAGGAGCATCTCATGGGGGTGACATTCTGGACCTTCGAAGAAATCTGGAAGTTTGAAACTTACTATTCCCTAGGTAAAGTATTCCTACCTATGGGAAAGTTCAGTAGTTATAGATATGTATCCCATATGCCTGACAAATACTAGACATATTTTCAAAGCTACTTCCAAGTTAAAGAATTAATTAATTAATTAATTAAAACATTTCATCGTTAACGATGGAACCAAATCCAAACTGTGTTGTATATCTGAGTTTAGGAATCCATCCTGAATCCAATTGGACCTTGGCTCCTCCAGATGGATCTGATTCGGCCCAGAGTGCTTCTGGGAGCTCTCTCTGCCACCCCCTTATTTCCCCAAACCTCCTGAGCAGGGTGGCCGTGGCTCCCAGGAACTATCTTTCTCACTTGGACTCCGGGCAGATTACACAGTGTGAGTCCATACAGCCAGCGGACGGGGCATTCAGTGAACGGTGCAGTAGGAGTAGGGCTGTCGAATCAACTGGAAGTCTGAAAACAGAACTGCAGCGAAGCAGCGGCGTTAACGTGACGCGTTAAATGATGCAAACTGCCGTGGCAGGATTCTCGTCTCAGCAAGCTGTGCCCCGTGGTACACAGACCACCACAGTCCCTCACAGTTTGCCCAAGGAACTTTGTGGCTCACTTAGTACAGTGCGACTCTGTGGCCTGTGTCGGACAGCCCTCTTGCGTAGTGAGCGCGGAAGCCTTCCGGACCTCCTTGGGCCTGCTGTTCTGTGCAGTGGGGCCACAGCTGGGGAGGCACACGCGGAGGCGGCGGATTTTGGCCCTTTGCCAGTTGGCACCCGCAGAAGGCCCTGCTGCGCGGGTGGAGCGGAGGAGGGGGAGGAGGGAGGAGGGTCCAAGGCCACGAAGGGCTTTGTCCGTGGAGCCCGGGAACTGATGGGCAGCCAGCGAGGTGCCTGCAGGATTCCGGCAGTGCTACGGGGGCTCCCTCTAGCTCCCGATCATAGCTGGAGTTTCCGAACTGGTTTTGCTGGGAGAGCAGTGCACAGTGCACTGCAGTAGTCTAGTCTGGTTACTGTGGCGTGGCTCCAGGTGGCCAGTTCAGCCGTATCAACGTGAGGGGCCCTCTTTTCGGCTAAGCTGAGTTGGAAGAAAGCCTTTTATGCAGCTGCATTAACTTGCTTCTTCAGTAAGGTTCTAGTGAGAAACCAGAATGCTGCGGCCAGGCTGTTGATGGGCCTCCCCAGGTGGGAGCACATCCGGCTTGTGCTGAAGGCGTTGCACTGGCTGCCAATAGCATACCGAATTTGCTTCAAGGTGCTGGTTCTTTACCTTTAAAGCCCTATGGCCAGGGTCCGACATACCTGAGGGACCGCCTTTCCCCATACATACCCCAGAGAGCACTACGGTTGCGGTTGCAAAATCGACTGACCCTCCCGAGCCCCAAGGATGTCAGGCTTGGTACCACCAGGGCCAGGGCCTTCTCAGTGGTGGCTCCATACTGGTGGAATGGGCTCCTGGAAGAGATCAGGGCCCTGCGGGATCTTTTACAGTTCAGTAGGGCCTGCAAGACGGAGCTCTTCCACCAGGCTTTCGATTAAGGAGCCGCCACAACCATCAATAATTTTGACTATAGAGCCCTGGCCCTGTGCTGCTGCTTGCATTAGGAGGAGCACTGAACAGAAAAAATTGTTTAGACCTTGTAGGCACTCTTCAGGACGCCATATTAAGCAATCAGTGAAACATCACCAGCACTTTATGATTTATGATCTATTTATAACTGATTCGTTTTAAATGATTTTATGTGGATTTTAATTGTTATTTATGTGTTAATCAGTGTGAGCCGCCCTGAGCCTGCTTTGCGGGGAGGGCGGGGTACAAATTAAATAATAAATAAATACAATTTTCTTCATCCTTCTAAAGTTATCCTCACAGCAACCCTGTGAGGTAGGTCAGGCTGAGAGAGTGTGACCGGCCCAAGGTCACCCAGCAAGCTTCCATGGCACGAGTGGGCCCAGTTGCTCGTACTAACCACTACACCTCATCCACATTGTAACAAAAAGTCTTAACTTTACATGCTGATTGCATCTGAACTGGCTGAGTGAGAAAGAGATCTTGGGGTTGTGGTGGACAGCTTACAGAATATGCTAACTCGGTGTGTGCAGCAGTGGTGAAAAAGGCAAACTGCATGCTTGGGATTATTAGGAAAGGGACTGGAAATAGAATGGCCAATATTGTAACGACCTTTTAGAATATGTGTATAGTTCTGGTCCTCCTGCCAACCTAGCAGTTCAAAAGCCAGAATTTGCAAGTGGATAAACAGGTACCGCTGCGGTGGGAAGGTAACAGCGTTCCGTGCGCCTCAGTGTTTAGTCACGCCGGCCACATGACCACGGAGAAGTCTCCGGACAGCGCTGGCTCTTCGGCTTGGAAATGGAGATGAGCACCGCAACCCTAGAGTCAGATTCAACTGGCTTTCGAGAAAGGGAAACCTTTACCTTTATTCATGGAGGACAGGCACATCAGTGGCTCCATATTCAAAGGCAGCAAACCTCTGGATACCTGTCCTAGGAGACAGCAGTGGGGGAGGCCTCAGTCTCTCTGTCCTCTCGGCTGGGCCTCCACTGTGTGGGCAGCGTTCTTTTGAGAGAACTGATCCAAACAGAGAAGTCCACTTAAACTTCCTGGGCAGCTGGCCTGGCCATATCATTCCGTGGCCAACAAGAGTGTTGTTGAGACTGTGCCTGTGATGCAGTTGGCTTCACAGTCCTCGGGGCCAAACGACCTGGTCGTTCTGATTGGTGCTCCCCAGCCCAGCTCACTTCCCCTACAGCCACGTAGCCGCTGCCCCTCTCGGCACTACGAGATCCAGTTTGGATGTGGGCCTTACTGCTAGAGGAGGAGGAGGGGCTCCAGCCCCCCCCGTACACTTCCCCCAAGAGGAGATGGCCCAGGGAGTGGGTTTTGCCCCACTGTGGGGTGCTACACACAGCTGCACGTCTGGGAAGCCCAACCCAACTCACAGCCAAAAGGACTGTGTAGAATGAGATTTGAATGGGGAGGGAGGGAGGGAAGGGCTGACCTGTCGACCCTTGGTTAGGTTGCCTGCCAGCTTTACTGTCTTAATGTCATTGGAACAGGTTACGTCAAATACTAGTTTTATAGTGAAAAATGTCTTTGACAGGGTTTTTAAAGCATTGCATGGAGAATCTGTTGCTTGATGACTATTTCTGGCTTTTTACACAAGAGGAGGAGGAAGCAGTTGGAATTGATGTCCGTTTAGATGAAGAATGCCTTGATATGATATACAGGGACCTCTTAATCCAAGAGGGTAAGTGGGGCAGTGCTACTAAAATGCTATTTGTCTGGAAATAATTTTTACCGCATTTAATCCTTTAAGCTTTGTAAAGCTGCAGTCCTAAGAAACTGAGTGAAATGGGACTGGCTTCTGAACAGCCCTGTTTAAGAGTGCTCTCTAGCTGTGACTGTCCAAGGATGTCAGGCGGGTCGGTCTGAAGCAGCAGAACCAAGTTTGAGTCCAGACTGGGAATCTTGGAGGCCAACAAGGTTTTATTCGAAGTGTGAGTTTCGTGTGCAAAGCACAGTTCTTCAGAAAAATGGAATAAAACTCTAATCAGCTCTTCCTGGCAACAAGCCCCCTGTTTCAGTGTGTGTGAAGAAGTGTGCACACGTTGAGTCTCTTGTTCTCCCACGTACACAGGGTTGAACTTTCTCTTGGGGGTACTGCTGGACTCTAGCTTCATTCTTACGTCTTTTTGTTAACTCATAGAACCATAGAATTACAGAGTTGGAAGGTACCAGACAGTCATCTTGTCCAATCCCCCTGCTCAATGCAGGATCACCCTAGAGCATCCCTGACAAGTGTTTGTCCAGTCGCTGCTTAAAGACTGCCAGGGAGGGGAAGCTCACCACCTCCCGAGGCAGCCCATTCCACTGTCGCACAACTCTGACTGTCAAACAGTTTTTCCTCATATCCATCTGGTACCTTCTCGCCCTTAATTTAGAATCATAAAATGTTAGAGTTGGAAGGGACCTTGCAGGTCATCTAGCCCAAACCCCTGCACTCTGCAGGAGCATAGCCGAAAGAGATCCCTACAACATAATTGAAAGATGGTCGTCCAGCCTCCGCTTGAAAATGTCCAGTGAAGCAGCATCCACCACCTCCCGAGGCAGTCTGTTCCACTGCTCAACCACTCTTACAGTTAGGAAGTTTCTCCTGATATTTAGCCGGTAACGACTCCCTTGTAACTTCCACCTATTAGATCTAGTCTTGCAATCCGGAGCAAGAGAGAATAGATCTGCTCCATCTTCTACATGACAGCCCTTCAGATACTTGAAGACTGCAATCATGTCCCCTCTAAGTCTTCTCTTTCCCGGGCTAAACAGACCCAACTCTTTCAGCCTTTCCTCGTAAGACTTGGATTCCAACCCCCTCACCATCCTGGTTGCCCTCTTCTGGACACGCTCAAGCTTGTCAACATCCTTCCTAAAATGTGGTGCCCAAAACTATGTCTTCCTCCAGGTCATTTATAAAAACATTGAACAACACCGGGCTCAGGACCGAGCCCTACAGCACTCCACTCGAGACTTCCCTCCACGTAGATGCAGAGCCATTTACGAGCGCTCGTTGGATAGTTTTTCAACCAACCATGACTCCATCCCAACGGTTGCACCGTCCAGCCCACACTTAACCAGCTTATCCTCAAGGATATCATGAGAAACTTTGTTGAATGCTTTACTGAAATCTAGATACACTATGTCCACAGCATTGCCAGAGTCAACCATTTTAGTAACTCTGTCAAAAAGAGGAGATAAGGTTGGTCTGGCGTGACTTATTCTTGATAAACCCATGCTGGCTACCACCAATTAACTCATTCCATTCAACGTGTTCACAGACAGAGCGTTTAATAATCTGCTCTAGAATTTTTCCAGGTATTGATGTCAAACTAACAGGCCTGTAATTTCCCAGGTCCGTCTTTTTTCCCTTCTTGAAGATCGGGACAACATTCGCTGTTCTCCAGTCTTTCGGTACAACACCAGTACACCAGGAAATCTCAAAGATTAGAGCCAGAGTACTCCTTCCTTCATATGTCCTGCCTTCTTCAGTTTGTATACAGCTCGCCTTACGGTTAAAGGCTGACGCAAAGTGAGAGTTAAGTAATTCCACTTTGTCTTCATCCCTTTTTAAGGTTTGACCATCTTCCCCTAGCTATGAGTTTACCCCATCCCTGTTCTTTTTGCTCTGAACATAGGCATAGAAACCTTTCTTGTTATTTTTCGCATCCCTCGCAAGCCTCAGCTCCCTCTGCGCTTTAGCCTTTCTGACACCATCCCTACAGATTCGAGCCTGCTTCTTGTACTCACCCTCAATAATTTGTCCCTCCTTCCATTTCCTGTACATTTCCCTTTTTAGTCTCAGCTCTTCAGAGAGTTCCTTGTTCAGCCACCTTGGCTTCATTACCCATCTCCCACCTTTCTCACCGGGACAGTTTTTGATTGTGCCTTAAGCACTTCATTTTTCAGCATCTCCCATCCTTCCTGTGCAGATTTCCCCCTCAGCATTTCCAGCCACAGAATCCTACCTAATATTTCTCTGAGTTTTTAAAAATCAGCTTTCCTGAAGTCCAGGATACGAGTCCTACTATGTCCTGGTTTCACATCCTTCTCTATGTCAAATTCCAAGCTGACATGGTCACTATTCCCCAAGGATCCCACAACATTCACTTCATCAACCAGTTCTTCCCTGTTAGTCAGGATTAAATCCAGGATAGCAGATCCTCTGGTTCCCACCTCCACCTTCTGAGAGATGAAGTTGTCTGCAAGACTATTCAAGAATCTGCAGGAT